ACATACTTCTTGGTTCAGCAATGTATATATATATTTTTATGTTTAAAGACCATCACAAATCAGCCCTTTGCTATCATCCTAACTAGGTCTGTGTCTGACTCAGTCAACAGACAGAGGAAGGGTAATCACAGGAACCTGTGAGCATTTATTAAACAATTACCTCTGCCACTACAGTGACAGAGCATCTGTGGTATCCTTGTCTCCCCTTACTTTTTACCTGTAGTAGCCTGCAGGACGCTTTTGGTGGGTTTAGTTTTATTTTCAATAATGTGCTTTGTGGTTGTGCTTACATAAGATGTTGGAGGAAACTATTTCAAGGATTCTTTGGATAAACTGTTTTCTGCAAACACAGGGGATTGAGCTCAATGGGTCAAAGGTCCCTTCTAGTCCTTGGTTTCTATGCTCCTAGGGAATACTTAGTGTATAGTGCTCAGAGGTGCCAGGTCTTACGGTCCTGGCAAATTACAATGGTAATGAACGACAAGAGTGCAAATATTAGATCTTCCCTTCTGCACCATCTGAAGGTTATTTATGGTAGGGAGTAATGGAAGCTATTTTGTCTCTGGTAAAACTGTAGGAGTGGGTGTACAGGTACTTGGAAGGTTTTAACCCAGATCTTTCTCTATATTTTGGCATATAAAATGTCTAATGAGCAAAGCAAGGCCAGAACGTCTGTCTTTTCACTGAAAAGACTTAACTTGAAATGGTAAATATTCTACAACAGCCTACACTTCTTCTGAAATACTGGAATGGGAAGATCACAAAAAAACCCAAACAAACACAGAACAATAACCAATAAGGCCTACTGGTTTCATCCAGTGCTATCTGTAATGAAGATTTCATCAATAATGTGCCTTTTATTTAGCACCTTCATTGAAAGGTATGGTTTTCAACTGGTACTGTATATTGATTTCACCGGCCACTGTGAAATAAAGGAAATGTAGACAGAATGCAAGAAACTACTACTAGCTCTCATTGGTGTAATAAAACACCATTTCTCAGTTTTATTAGAAATAGAAGCAATTGTGCTAAGAATCTACCATTCAGTCTTCTACAGGCTCTACCAGTTCTTAATTTAGGGAAAGTCAATTTTATTAGACATAGAACTTGGAAATTTGTATAATTTGTGGGGAATTTTGTGAACCTTGCCTAGAAGAAACTAGTGTCTCTATTACCGTCTTCATTAATTCCTGCAAGGTTTTAAAATAATTTGGATATCAAGGCAAAGCTGGCACAACCACTTTACCTGGGGAGGAGGATTACATTATCCCCATGCTCAAACTTGTTCTCAACAGGGTTATTTCTCTTGAAAGCTCTGAACCAGGTGTTTTTAAAGTAGAATATCTGTCTCCAGAAGCTTCATGTACACAATGCTCTGAGGATCTCCTACATAGGGATTCCATAGATCGTAGTACATCTATTGCCATTATGCGTATGGGAATGGAACCATGAAGAAAGGATACCAATGTATGTAGAGCTAGTCATTTCTGTATTTAGGATGCTGTTATAAAATAGGTTCCTAACTGGATTAGGGTCAGAGAAATATATCATAGAATAAACCAATTATGCATTCCCTGTCCTTTGTGAAGCAGATGAACAATGTAATACCTTTCAATCCAAAGAAAGAACTGTAGATATAGAGGGAGACTGCATCCCCTTGTTTATGAATAGTACTGAAGAGGACACAGGTTCAAATAAGGAGACAATTTTGACCTGATCTCATGCTTAACAGTTGCAAATGTAATGCAACATCCAGATCCATTGCCATTCCCCATTTATGCAGGAGATGGGGAATGGGAGATAATACATTTTATGTAGTTTTTATGATTGAGGCATAGCCTGTCTTCTTGCTCCATGTATATACAGGGACTGGTACCACAGTAATACACATAATAATTACTAATAATTTTGTTGCTACTGGTAGGAAAGACAGGGACTGTCATTGATTTGTTTTTGATGAAGAGTGTTTCTATATTTATATCAACTATTATTATACCTATTTGTACATGTTGACTGATAAAACATAATCAAAGTTCTCAATTAAAGTAGTCAAAAGAGCCTAAAATCATATGAATGTTTTGTGGGTTTGCTTTCTGGGTTTTTTTGGTTTTTTTTTTAAATAAGACTACCCACATTATGGGATATAAAGAAGGACATTCAAATGAAGGTGTAACCTTAAAGCTGTTGATTCAAAAAGACATATGAAAGCATGTGTTTAATGTGACAATTCTTCATCAGTGACAAGATAGACAGCCTGCATCAACTTTATAATCCAAGTTACTGAAGGATCCAGGAATGGGACACATTAAAATCCCAGAAGACCTCATGAACAGAATTGGCAGGAATTTTCTGATGAAACAAGTTTAATAAAAAATTGTTAATGTGCTAAGGCTAAAAATGTTTCATTTGAACCGGAGAGATCCCTGTAGCTGCTCAGTGAATCTGATGTTCCTTTCAATTTCATTGCTATTAAGAAGTGAAATTGACAAGAGTCTCTATTTCACTGAGCAGCTCCAAGGCGTCAAAAACTTCCAATTCACTGGAAATTTCAAAATGTGTTGTTTTCAGTTCAATTCAAACAAAAACCAAATTTCAGTAAAAGAAATGAAAATTTTCATTTTTTCAAAAATGTTACTTTCAGCCAGTTCTTATCAGGAATGAAAGAATACTGTAAGGTGAAACCACCATAAGGTACCTGAATAGACGAAAAACAAGAAACTTGTACGCAAACAAACTGAAAACACATTTACATACGGAAATAAAAACCTATACTTGAAAGGATTACATATCAACATAAACAAAAGATCTGAACAGGCAATCTAGGTTTTCTGCTTAAAACTTTTTATCTAATAATATTTCAATACAGCATTTGGTCACTGTCTGATTAATTATTCCTAAGGGACAATAATAGAATATTCTGTGGTTCAAATTACTAGACATTTCAATGACTATGGTAAAAATGCCATCCAGATTTAAAAGAACTGTAAAGATTAATCAATTTTTATAAAAGGTAAGTAAATAACTTTCCACAAGATAACTGCTCTGTACAAGGAACTAGAAATTACATTTTTGAGCATGCTTGCAAGTTTTATAATTTCTACTCAACATGAGGTTTGTTATAGTCCAATTATTCAGATGACAAACTTTCCACAGCTAGGACTTATTTGGGAACCATAGCCAATTTCCAAGTTTCACTGCCATGCAAAATTGCCTCTTATCAGAACTTTAACAAAATAAAATAAATAAATTGATATTCTTTTTATATTTAGGTACTGCAGAAGTCATTTAGGATTTGGGACACTGCAGTTAAGTGAGAAAAATGTATCTGGATTAAAAGCATTCTCTTTGTTCTTTTTTATCTTCATCTGTCTACCCCTCTCTTCCTGGGGTCCATGCTTATTGTCTTTTTATTATCAGTATTCAGTATCTCTCTTCATCCTCTCCCTGCAAACTTTCACTATTTGGATTCTATCTTTCGCTTTGATTCCTCTTTCAAATTCTGGCTGGGAGACAGAGTTCTTGTAAGCATAATGTTCAACAAACTATGCAGTAATATTAAAGTTTAGAATTACAGGATCAACTTACAGAAACAGTAATGAAGCATTTTAACAAGGAATGCTGTGAGTTCATTTATAAAGATCTTGTAATGTGAAGCAGTAATACTTGACTAGTAGATCAGTAGTCATTTTAGGATACATCTACAGTGGTCACCATGAAAGAAATAACTTAACAACCACTGCTATCCCATAGTACCCAAGATACTAAAGTAGCAAATTTCTTATCAAAACTTATGAAATGTGTTTATATTCAGTATGTATATAACTGAAGGTAAATGGTGGTCATTGTATATTATATTTGTTTTTTTGAAGAGTACCTTTGGATAAAAGTGGCAATATTAAAATTATTAGAAGCCCACTGTTGTAGAGACTGCAAGAACCACCTAAGGGCCAAACAAAATGACATGCACAAAGTAATGATACCATCCTGTTAAACCACATCTACTGGCATCAAAATACAGAAAAGGCAGCTAACAGCTGAGACAAACTAAGAATACACAATTGGTAAATATCTCTGACTGTAAACGCTCAGACTTCAAATAAAGAAATGTGTCACACAACAAAGGACACCACAATTTAGATGCAGTAGATATTGATTCAATCACTGGAGACATTAAGGGTAGAGAGACCAACTGAATAATTGTACCAATATCAAAAGATATCAATACAACCTGTTACAATGCAACTGTTACTTATATTGCTACAGGATCATGAGAATGTACCTACGACTTTAATCCTGCTTCATTCAGGGTCAAAATGAGGGACCCAAGTTAGCTAAACTGCATCCCTATGGATAATGAAAATGTAACAGTTACAATGTAAGAGCTGATCCAAGCCCTCCCAAGCTGGAGCTCCCCTTTTCCTTTTAAAGGAGTTAAAATGTAAGTTATTTCATACCCTGACTCAAAGTGTATAGAAATAACAGGAAAAACCCAAGGAACATACTTAGAATTTATTGTCTAAACAGAATCAGAACAGTGCATAAATAGGGATATACATGCAGTGTTTTCTGGGTTGTTGTTTTTTTCGCCATTTTGTCTTCAAGGTTTGTTCCACCCATCTGAGAGGATGAGCAAAAGGAGGATAGCTACTTGAGGTTATGAGATATCAAAATGAATACATAGTGATTTAAACTTAATGTATCATCTATTAGCAGATTTATACCCTTGAAATGTTAGTGAACAAATGAAAACAGAAAATTAATCCTTTCTTGCTAAGTAGGTATCCTTACATCCTTTGAATCAACCTCAATTTTCTTTTCAAGAGGAATAAGCCTTCTAAGGTTAGGAAGAAAGATTCCCATTGAATATGCCATCTATGTACAAGACTATTATTGAAATTAAACACTAAAAATTTTAAACCACATCTTTTCTAAAAGTGTTGACACAGGATAGGCTATGCAATTAAAACTGTGACTGGAAAGAGAAAATAATATATACTGACCTCCCACTTAGCTGCAATGGAGGTTCTGCTGCTGATCCTTTTAAGAAATCTTGCTTCTCTGACATATTATATTCTTTATACATTAGCAGAATATCATCATCCTTAATATGAGAGTGTGTACTCAATTCTGCTAAACAATTTTCATTACTTCTCTTTGAAAGATTGTCCATCATAGCTGGGTCTTCAGAATTCAGCCTCTCTTTATCTGCAATAGTCAGAAATAATATTTTGCAGAAGTGTTCTCATAAGAATACTTATAAGAAGTCAACACAGCAAAAGGTCTTTAAAGTGAACCATGAGAATTTTATTTCATATTTTACTAATCATTAAGGTTAGCTGACATCAATTTAAAAAAGAAAAATCTTTATCTAAGTACCTAAATACATAAAGTTCTCTTTGGCATTAAAGATGGTTTTAAAGCTATCTAATACATTTTAAGCATTCTGGATTTTCAGCTATTTTGCAACTTTTCTTTCCTTTTAAAACTAGAACAGGTAGGGATGAGATTACTAGCCAGAAGTTAGATACAAAAAGGAACTTGAGCAATAAGTGAATATATGTTCACAGGTACTCTTTCAAAGTTAACAGGTGCTCAAAAGGCAGGATAGAATTAGCCTTCTTCATAGCTAACTACTAGGCCTACGTGAGTCAGTAGCGATCTGATCCAGCTGCTTCGGATGGCCATGATCCGATCCGGAGCTCCAGGCCGGGTTTCTGCCTCGATCCAGCCGAAGCGACTCTGAAGCTTTGGAGCCGCCTCAGAGATCTGGCCATAGGGTATAATGGGGAATCAATGAAATATCTATAACTTTGTTGTTTTTTGTCCAATTTGGATGAAACTTGCAGGGATGGTAGCCTCTGCTGAGAGCATGAAACCTGCCAAGTTTCAAGAAGATTGGTGCAGGGGTTGGGGGGGAACAGTACCCCAAATTCTGGAACGCCAAACTCATGTCATGGCCATCTGTTACACCACAGGGGGGTCAAAACTGCAGGGCTGGTAGCTCTTACTGAGGCCACAAAGCCTACCAAGTTTCAAGAAGATCGGTACAGAGGTTTGGGGGGGGAACTGCACCCCAAGATGTGGACAAGCAAAACTCATGCCATGGGTGACACTGCATGTGTTAAGGTGCAGTGGGGTGACAGCTGCAGAGGTGGTGGCCCCTGCCAGCTGTTGAGGAGATCGGTGCAGGGGGGTTCTGGGGCCCTGCACCCCTAGCTGCTGACAGACAAAACTTGTGCCAAGATTGTGTCTGTCTTGGGGCAGTTGATTGTCTGTATTGATTCTTTCCTCTCCTTAGCCTGGTTTTGTAGGCTAATTGATGCTCGTTATGTAGTAGCTAGGTCCTGTGTATTGAGCTGGTCCCTGAGACCCTGGTCCCTGAGTGAATCATGATTGATTCGTAACTGGCAACACAGTAGCTTAGCAGCCAGGCCTGCCGCAGTGTCTCCCTTCCATGCCCCAAGCCAGACAGTCAGTCCCACAAGCACCCATGGTACGAGTTTTGCTTGTCCATAGCTTGAGGGGCAGTTCCCCCCAAACCCCTGCACCGAACTTTTTGAAACTTGGCAGGTTTTGTGGCCTCAATAAGACCCACCAGCCCTGCAGTTTCCACCCCACTATGCTGTAACGCCTAGACGTGACATGAGTTTGGCTTTCAACAATTTGGGGTGCTGTTCCCCCCCCAAGCCCCTGCACCGATCTTCTTGAAACTTGGCAGGCTTCATCCTCGCTGCAGCATCTACCGACCTTAAAAATCTCATCCAAATCGGGCGAAAAAACAACAAAGTTATAGATATTTTATTGTTTCCCCATTATACCCTATGGCCAGATCTCTGAGGCAGCTCCGAAGCGCTTCGGGAGCTCCAAACCACTTCCGGAAGCCGAATGAGGCCAGTGCTTTGACCCGGATGTGTTGTTTTGGACCCCGAAACGTCCAAAGCTTCTCTGGATCCGAAGCTCTACCCGAAGCCTCGCACAGCTCTACTAGCTACCACCCTGAGGTCTTTCAAAAGGAAGCTATGCTAAAGCAAATATAATCATTTCAACAATATTGAAAAAAAATATATTTTGCCTATAAAATAACAACATTAAGTTCTCAGTAATTCAAAAAGACAACATCATGACTGTGGACAGGGCCATCCCGGGGGGGGGGAGGGAGGGAGGGAAAGGGAATCGGAGTGACTGCCCCAGGCTCTGTGCTTTGGGGGGCAGAGCTGGCCCAAGAAGTGACTCTGCACTGCCGCCACCCACTTTGTGTCTGGCTCCTCGCTACCTCCTTCCCGTCTGCCGCCGCCACCACCAATGGCAATAGCGACTTCTTCACATCCGGGGCACACAGGATCAGGGCGGGGCCCCACATGGGCTGATTTACCCCAGGCCCTGCACCCTGCTAGGGTTGGCTCCAATTGTGGATACAGGTATGATTTAAGTCCATATTTATTGGAATGCTCACAAAACTTGTGAATAAAAGTTGTAAAAGTGCAGAAAAACTTTTTATACTCTTACTAGCCAATTACCCGTCAAGATGCTGGGGGGGGGGGGGGGGGGGGAGAGCACCACCCAACGCCCCAATGCCCGCTCTGCCTCTGGCTCCATGGCCATCCCCACCTCATCTGGCTCCGTGTGCCCCCATGTGGCCTGCCCCAACCTCTGTGGTGGGGATGGAGTCGCCATGACAGCGGGGACTCAGAGGCTGGGGGCTACTCTCCCATCCCTCAGTCCCTGGCGCCACGAGGAGGTGGGGACAGAGCCCTTAGTCCAGCCTCACCCCTGCTTCTTGTCTGATCCCGTGCCCCCCCCACCCCAAACACTGAGTCCAGACCCATTTCTCCCCTCACTCCTTGGTTGCTGCCTTTGGGAAGCAGAGCTGGAAGGGGGGGTGGGGCCAGCGCACCGTGTTTGCTCCATTGCCTGCAGGGAGCAGGCCTCTCCCCCCTCCCTCCGTTTTCGCACCTTGCAAGGAATGGAGGGGGCAGCACTAGAGGCACTGACCCCGCTCCATCACCACCATCATGGTGGCGTGGCAGCCACCTGCTGTCCAAACGCTTGCACTCCGATTGGTTGTTTTCAAATGCCTACTCATCACAAAGTTCTAACTTGGTTTCTTTCTTTACTGAACTACTTACTTTTCAGCATAATGATGCTGCCAACAATTTTCTTCCCCAAATAAATTAATCTTACCATGTTCAGTAGTTTTTAAATGAACCTAAACTAATTAAATCTCATAACATATAATTCAGATGTACAAAAGTACTGCCTGTTACACCAGAAATGCCAAATGAAAGTCTCCTTACAAGATGTCTTCATATTTAATATTTCTGTATTTACTGATAGATTCCTTATTCAGAAGACTGTGGCATATAAGAATCTAGGAGAAAATTTTTGAAGTGTCTAAATGAGTCAATACACATTCTATTTTCAAAAATGAGAGTCAATAGGGACTTAAGCTTTTAAACTCTATCAAAAATTATTTAGGTATTTAAGATGCTTAAACGCTTTTGAAAGTTTTACTCAAAAATCTAAGAACACTTAGATTTTGAGAATTAAGTTAAAATAAGCCTTGTATACTTTTAAGCAACTGTTTAGCAATTATTTGTTTATAAATAATATGCAGAAATGTCCTTACTCTCATCAGGCAGACTTCCCCAAGAAGTTGTTCTAAACAAGCGTGCCCGGGCACTGCTGACTTTTCTAACCTCCAGGGGGTCTACAGGTGGTTTTGGAAAGGGAATGGAAGAATGCTGATCTTTTGTGGGTGATGAAAACAGCTTCGGCTTCTGTTACAAAGTAAGATAAAGTATTAGTTTTACAAATTCTCAAATCCTAAAATTAGAAAAATAAAACTTTCCGTATACATTACTATTGCTTCTTTTCCTCCAACTAATGACTAATACAGACAAGTGTTAAGAGCAGCCATGTCATTTCATCTTAAAGAAAAGAAAAAAATACAACCATTTCAATTCCACATTTTACAATTTGTATCAGCATTCATAGACAGTTGTCTAGAACAGACGTGGAGGAAATAATGTCTAAACCTTTCTAGGGAAGGATGGAACAGTGTCAAAATAATTAATCATAAACTAGCCTTCATATAGCATTTTATATAGCACTAAACAGCATTTATTTTCTTTTGGATTAAGAGATCATCTACATAAAGAATGTGCTCCATCACAAAAATGTTGCGACTACTCCCGAGACACAGTGGGTGCATCTACACATGCAATTAATGTGAAGCAATAAACTCCAGAGCAGTCCGAGTTGGAGTAAACTGCTCCCAGGCACAGCATCTACATACGTGCCTGGGACAGCAGCAATTTGAGCTGAAGCTGAGTAGTTTATGCCAGGGCTAGGGGCAAGGGGGTCAGCCCCAGTCTCCAAGTGGTGGTGTTGGGTGGTGGAGGGGCTGGCTGGGGCATGAATCTGCAGAACCGTGTGCCTAGGCAGCAGGCAGGAGTCCCTAGCTGACTGGGCTGACCGGGCACAAATTCATGCCCGCAGTCAGCATCTATATGTTTCATCGTAGCTAATTACTGTTGGAGACAGTACTATTTTATGGCAGAGGTAGTTTACTGCACCCTAATAACAGTGCACATGTAAACAGTAACCCTTTACTGTGCTGCTAATTAGTCTACTTTGCAGTAAAGTGCATGTGTAGATGCACCCAGTGAGTACTACTGAGGTGCACAGATCCACATATCCACTACTAGGTTTTATTTTTTAAAACTTCTCTCATCTCAGCTGCAACTAGAGACCCTGAAAAAGCTCCATCTGGTACAAAACTTAGTTCATGTGCTCAGTAAAACAGTTATCCATGAAATCTTTGCCCTCAAAACTGTTCTTTGTACCGACTCTTCTTAGAATAAGGAATCCAGTTTGAAGTCTCTATTTTGATCTTCAAAGCTCCCCAGCTGACTGATTCTAGGCACCCAAGGGATCATTGCCATCCCCTTAATAAGCATAACCTCCCACAATTATTACATCCCATTGGAACAATAAATTCTTTAAGCAGTAGAGTTTAACTCCTAAGAATGAGAAATTTAGGACAAGTTTAGCAAGTCCAGTTTATTCAAAAGAACTAGATTTAAATGATGGAATCCACTCTCACAAGAGATGCTAACAGCTATGAACCTCACTACTTAAAAGCAAAACCTATTTCTTTAACTTTGTGAAGATAGAATTAAGCAAAACTATCGTGCAAACTAATCAAGGTACTGATTTCACAAATTAAGAAATAAAGACTTTGACTGGGTTTTTTGGGTTTGTTTTTTTTTATCTACACACGCTTGGGAAACAACCTGCACTACAAATCGGCTACATAAGTATCTAAATAAACCATGACAATATAGTGATTGCAATTACTGTGTGAAGATGACTTAAACATCTATTTTAAATATGTAAAAACTACGCAAGTCTGTAAAGTATAATCAAATTATTTAATTTATATAAATCAAAACAATATTTTTATAAAAATTGCAATAGTGCAAACTTTACTGGAAATGGACACTTCTTTTAGAATTTCTCTAAATTGTATGGGCTCTAAATATTATGAATCAGCGCGAAATTTTATGCGTTACTGAAAAGTGCTTTTATTGTAACCTGTGTAGTGTACCTTGGACACTTTAATATATGTTAAATGCCCATAACTTTTACAAAACTATAAGATGAAAATAATTCAGATTTTTTACAAGAGAAGAAAACAATAAAAACATTTCTTCCAGGTACCTTTAATTTTAAAATGTCACATTTAAATGAGCTGCTACTACTATGCACTATAACAGGGGTGGGTAAAATATGGCCACCAGGCTACATCCAGCCCACGGAAGGGCTTTGTCTAGCTCACGGTGGGTCCCTTGGTCCCACCTGAATGAGGCACCACGGCTGGGAGGTACGGAGCAGGTGCAGGCTGTGCTAGGACTGTGTACTGTTGGTGGTGGCAGGGGAAGCACCATAGGGTATGCAGGCTCTGGGCTGTTGCGGGGCAGGGGTTGACCAGCTCAGGGGGGCGCCTTCCAGGGCTCCCATGCACACCCCACATATACTCACACCCTCCCCCTTAAACCCCACAACCACACCCTCCTCCACACACCCCACAAACACCTCATCCACCCACACCCTCACCTGCATGCCTCTGGCGGGAGCCCCGCTCACATCACCCCCCACCCCCCACAGCCACTTTCCCCCTCCACATACCCCAGAGTCCTGCAAAAACCCATACCCACACATCCTTACAAACCCCCATACCCACCTACCCACACACATGCATACCCACCCAAACTCTTCCCCACACCCCACATAAAACACACATCCACACACAAGCCCTATACCTACCTCACCCATACCCCCCACACCCCTCACAATGTACAAGAGTAAGACTTCATTTTGAGCTATTATGCAATCACTTCTATGTATACACAGTACAAACACAAGTCAGGACAAATTTTTTTTTAAAATAAAATTAAAATATTATTACGGACATTCAATTTTTAGTACATAATTTGGTTTTATTCCGGTTCCAAGATGGCAAACCCCCTTCCCAAGAGGAGTAATTCCAAGGGCAAGGAGAGGGACTTTCCAGTGGCAAAGGTCAGAGGTTAGGCACAGGACTTCTGATCCTAAGATGGCGACCAGGGGGCAGGACCACCCTTGCAGCCCTCAACAGCTCTCCAAAACTCTTTAAGCAGCCCTTCACCTGAAATAATTGCCCACCCCTGCACTATAAGCAGATGACCTACTTCTAATTTATTTTTCAGGACCAATGCCATTTGCAGCCTCTCTTTCAGTCATCTTAAAAATGAAAATAGAGGGTCAAAATTTTAACATCTCATCTTTCAAGCACTAAAGCAATTTTGTTGTACCTGGAGTTAGAAGGCTACACTCTAATATAGGTAAAAAGTGTTTTCTTCTTCATTTTAGGGGGAAAAAATAACAGTTCATAAACCAATTGTATTAATCTCAAATTGTACATTTTCACCTCTTCTAGTGAACTCTCAAAGCATTGATTTAACCTATTTTTACAGTGTCCTTTTATAACAATACAGTAGGTGGTACATGTTCAGTATTATATAACATTCTTTTTATTTAAAAGTACTTGCATGGTCCAGTGGGCTGAGACGTGCACCAGAAATTGGTCTTGATTCACTAGATTCAAAACTGGAAGCATGGAGACTGAGATAAAGAACAGAAACAGAACATTAACTCAGACTCAGTTTTGTTTTCTTGCAGTGGGTCCATTCTCTTCCATCCCCAAGCCAGTGAAGAAAGGGTACCACATCTACAACATTATTCTCTTTTTCTTTAAATCTTACAGATTCAATTGGGATGTCAGGCCAAATGGCTCATTAAGGCTGAGGGAGGAAATCAGAGGACTGTGTGGCACATTCTTGCTTATTCTGCAAACAGATACTGTAATATAAATTAATGCTCCTCACAAAGGTATAACCCAGCTGGAATTCTCTCTACAGATGCTGCAAAGTAGCATAAAGTAGCATCTAAGATATGACAGTGTAACTCTTGCAACATGCTGTTCTGCTGGGGAAAGGGACTGTAAGAGATGGCTCCTACCTTTGAGGCTAATAGCTCCAGTGCCTGTCAAGGGAGGATCATGCTTTCTGTGAACTACTTTGGGCCACAACCCCAGCTAACCAGAAAGGAAGCTAACAGGTCATTCCATAATAATTCAAAGTAAAAAGTTTCATAATAAAACTTTTTCTTTTTTTTCATTAAAAAGGAGGAGTTGCACAGCAGAGAACATTCTCTTACACCATTCTGTACATGCAAAATTGGTACAGACCACTGCTAGTATTAGTTCCAAGCCACAGGAACTTCCTGCACACACAGATTAACATGGTCAATGAGCATTTTTAAAACACAGGAAAGGATGTAATTAACAGCAGAAACTAATGCAGGAAAAAAGGACCATAAACATAATTACAGAATCAAACCTCTTGCTGCTAGATTATATTAACAAACCTTAAAGCCTCTATACCTAAAAGCAGAAGGTGGTCTATCATCAGGAGTTCGTGAAGATGCAGATCCAAAAAGTTTCCTTTGATACTCTCGAGGTGTAAGTGGCCTTTGAGTTCTTAAAGTTCTTAGCGCATTTCTCGCTTCATTTATAATCTCAGCGCTGGTCTTCTGCCTAGGCACAGAAGGCCTATAAAATGGGTCTGGCGTATCTACATTTTTATTCTTTAAGGACTGCATTCTTCTACAATGTAGCTGACCAGACGCTGTGCGCTGCAACAGAAAACCAAGAAAAAAAAACAACAACACTTTAAGCAAGAAATGTTTATGGTATTCATGAATATTTAATTATTTTTTTAAATGTTTTAAGAAATAACATTGGAAGCCAGGGTGAAGGTCTCAGATATCTCACAGAAATCAATCTGTACCACTGGAATTCAGCGATATTATTCTTCACTCTCCTATTGTCAGTGGAAAAAGTTGAAGTATATAGTGTTTTTAGCATGTGGAAAGGGATTTAAAAAAAACAAAAAACAAACAAACATCATCAGGGACTACCGTATTTTCAAGGCCAAACAAAATAGCATTCTGATGTCAAACAAAGGCTTATCAACCAACATTATAAATATTCAGAAGCTGACAATTCAATAAATAATAAAGCTGTTATTATAATAAAGCAGGAACAAGACAAAGAGCATGTGAAGAGAGACTTTCACAAACTTAGAAAATTAACAATACATGGTATCAGTTTTATCAAGTACTCCATTCTAACAAGCTAGAAGAGGTATTGCTTGTCAACGGGAAATGAAAACTATATACAGGAAAAGACAATAAATCTTATCTTTGTAAGAAAACACATTAACACATTATATGATGAATTATCAACTCAGACTGCCAGAGTTTGATCTGATTGTGCACCCTTAGGCTAGAAACAGACTTCACCTTTGTGTCGCCATAACTATTTTTATAATGGCCCAAAGCAAAAGCAAATAGACATCCATGCCCTTCGTCATGCCACAAATATCTTCCATGATTGCCTTATCTGTGGGTCGGAAGATGGCTGATGAGGCCTATTTGGGACTGACAGACTCTACTGAGCTCAGACATCTGTTTCCATGTGGGGTGCGTGGAACTGGATTTTTATTTGGTCTGTGACACGCTTTTTTGCTGCTCCCACTTTTCCATCTGTTGTTGTCATGAGGTTTCAGAGTACTAAGATCCCTGCAACAGACTTTTCCTCCATTTGGGGCAGTCCTGGGCAATAGTCTCCCATGAATTATGAATACTGCATTTTTTTAAGTTGGCCTTGAGGATGTCCCTGAAACGCTTTCTCTGCTGTCCTCTTAAGCGTACACTTTAGCTGAGCTGCGAAAATAAAGCTTGCTTCCAGAGTCTGGAGTCAGACATCCGGATGAGTTGGTTGGCTCAATAAAGTTGATGCCAGATGATCATTGCCTCAATAATCATAGTGTTTGTTTGCAGGAGGATGCTAACTTCCCACTGGATTTGAAATATCTTCTGCAGGCAGCATCGATAGTACTTCCCCAACAACTTTAGATGCCTCCTGTACATTGTCCATGCCTCAGCTCCGTTCAGCAAGGTGGGGATTACACCTGCTTGATAAACCATGAGCTTGGTTTGGGATCTGATGTCGCAATCTGTGAACACCTGTTTCTTCAGACATTCAAAGGCTGCACTTGCACATTTGAGGCTATTTGGATTTCTTTGTCTATGTCAGCCTTCTGCAAGAGATGGCTTCCAAGGTACAGGAAATACTCAACATTTTCCCGAGTGTCATCATGGATCTGGATTACTGGAGCTGGGGACTGTTCGTTACAAACTCGTTGGTGGAGGACCTTGGCGTTAGTCCCATCTTCTGGTATGCTTCAGTAAAGACATTGATGATTGCCTGAAGGTCTACTTCCAAGTCAGCACACACTACATCATCAGCATACTGAAGCTCAATGATTGTCATCAGAGTGGTCTTGGTTTTGGCTCAAGAGACAGCTGAGGTTAAACAATTTACCATCCCTTTGGTAGTTTAGCTCCACCCCAGCTGAAAGCTTGTTGGTGGACAGATGCAACAACATGGCAAAGAATATTGAGAAGTGTGGGAGTGATGATGCAGCTGTGTTTAACTCTGGTTTTAACCTCAAAGGGATCTGTGACAAATCCATTACTGAGAACCACCACTCGCATACCATCATGGAACAGGCAGAGAATGGTGACAAATTTTGGTGGGCATCCATACTTCAGAAGGATTCTCCACAACACTTGGCTGACAGATTCAAAAGCTTTTGTGAGGCCAAAGGCGGCCATGTAGAAAGGCTTATGTTGTTCCCAATGTTTCTCCTGCAGCTGGCAAGCTGTGAAGATCATGTCAGTTGTGTTTCTTGATGCCCGAAACCCACACTGAAATTCTAGGAGGAGCTCTTCAGCAAGCAGAAGGAGACAGTTCAGAAGGATTCTCACAATGATCTTTCCTATGATTGACAGCAGGGTGATCCCTCTATAGTTTCCATGGTTGGACTGGTCTCCTTTCTTGAAGATGGTCAATCATGGAGCCCCTGAGGTCATCTGGGAGTTCCTCATAATTCTAGATCCTTAAGATGAGGGCATGAAGCAATGATGCAAGCTCCTCTCCTCCCTGTTTTAAGATTTCAGCAGGGATTCCATCCACTCCAGATGCCTTGTTTCCCCATCTGCTTGATGGCTTTCCTCACCTTATCAAGGGTTGGAGGGATCCCAAGATCTTCTCTGACTGGGTGTTGCAGGATGTAGTTTAGAACACTCTCATCAACAGCAGAGACTTGATTGAGATCTTCAAAATGGTCCTTCCAATGGGCATTGATGGCTCCCCTTTCCTTGATCAGGTCTCCTCCATCCTTAGGTCTCAAGAGGGTTGGTCCCTGAGTGCTTAGACCATAGATGGTTTTGGTGGCACTGAAGAAGCCACGCATATCATGGATGTTAGCCAGATGTTGAATCTCCTTAGCCGGGTCTTCCCACCATTTGTTCCTCATATTGCGCATCCTCCTTTCAACTTCTGCCTTGGCTTGTTGGAGATTCAATTTATTTTTCTTGGAGGAGTTGGTGTCATTTTGCCAAGCACAAAAGGCATTGTGCTTATGATCAATCAACTGTGCTGCTTGTTTGTGGCCAATGTCTATTTGCTTTATGGAGGAAGAGCTCAGGCAACCCAGAACTGCTCACACTCTCCAGGAGCACTGGGCAGGCATTTCCACACTCCTCAGGTCCCACACTCCCCAGGAATTCCCAGGCAAGATCAGGCCTCTCAAACCCTGGAAGTGCCTGCCTGACTTTCCCCACTTGGAGATACTTGATGAATTTATGGAAGTGATTTTTACAGAGCCACCAGTCATCAAGAGAATCACTTCCACAAATTCATCAAGTCTAAGACTTAATATATTCATGCAACTCTTTGTAGAGACCATCAGTTTTCATTTTTCAACAACTATCATAAACTCCATCCAAGTCAGAATTCTTTGTTCCTCAAAGTAGAAATAAACTGTGTATAGTTACCAAAGGGGAGAAAAACATTTTGTCATGGATTTTCACTACTGTGCACAATACAAGCAGGTAGCTTGAGTCCCCTCATACAATCTATGATTAAAAGCCAATAGCAGAAGAGACTGGAAGCTGCCATCTAGCGTTGTCCAAAGTTGAGTCAAAAACTCACTTCCCTACTCTAAGTCTCATTTACCTTCTTCTTGCTTCTGCTTTTCAAAGCCTCTCTCCTGCCTTCTCTCTAAGACCCTCATATGCTTAGAAGTCTCCCCATTAATATTTTCCAAGCTTTCCCTTCCTCCCTACCCCCTGCTATGAAACTATTTCCAAGACCCCACCTCTTCTGTAAAGTGCTGAAGCCATAATAACCATATGACACTTCTTCCATATGGTACTATAGTAAGATAGAAATCTCTATTAGGGGTGCACTGATAAAGATTTTTTTGGCCAATACCAATGGCCGATTATTAACCACCCATACTGATCCAATAGCCAGTATGCAGCCCTGTAGCTTGGCTGGCAAGTCTGTGGTGGGGGGGCATGGGGAGGGGCAGATCGAGGCCCCCACAACGAAGGAGGGAGTGGGGCTGGGGCAGGGGTAGGCACTGCCCAGCCTGGGCGGGGCGGGGTGTGGAACAGAACCATGGGCAGCTCATCCAGGGTACACAGGGGATGGGAAGGGGGCGTGGCTCCTTGCTGCTGTGCACTACCCTGGGGGAGGCATGGGGGCATGTGCCACCTGGATTTATGCATGGGGCAAGGGCAGGCTGCCTGTTGCGGGCTCGGGGCCAGGGATTGTGCTGGCCTCTTCCCAGCAGGCAGGCTGGACTGAGTCTGCGCTCAGGGTGGGCAGCGGTGGCACTGGGAGGGGGGGCTACAGCGAATTTTGGGGTGTCTATAGCCCACCCCTTGAACCCTCCCCAGCACCGCCCCCGCCCTGCCCTCCTTGAGCACAGCCCTGGCCCAGCTGGGAGAAGGCAAGCGCAGCCCCTAGCCCCGGGCCTGCAGCAGGCAGCCCACCCTTGCTCCATACACAAATCCAGAGAAGCACATGCCCCTGCCCCACTCCCTCCCTCACCATGGGGGACTCGATCTGACCCCCCATGCCTCTTTCCCCCCCCAATACTGGCCAGATGCTGCTTTTCACACTACCAGGCTGCCTTCCTGGCTGCGTGCAAGCTGCAGCTGCATACATGCAGGTGGCATTTATCAGTGACATTATTGGCTACACCAATCAGAAAAAGCTGATTGCCAATAATGTCAATTTTCCCTTTATCGGTACCAATCTGATATGGACTGGTATACCGGTGCACCTCTACTTATTATATTTATGTAATGCTATAACCACTTTGTCTGCTCATGGCTCAAGAGGCAAATCCAGACCATTTCTCCACAGGCATGGAGAGTCATTATATATTCTAACTGGTATATTTCTACCACACAAGGGAAGACTGAATGCTACATAGCAAGGTTCTCTTGCCTGGTGCAAAGCTTTGCTTTCAACTACCCACGTCTTGCACTGCAGCATGCAAGGAAAAGATTCCATCGGTGGATCAAGAGAGACAGCTTCCCAGCACCAGTGTGCTTAAAGGAATTTAAAAAAGCTAAAACTGGAAATCTTACTGTAGTTAGAAGTCATATCCAAGTTCTTACAAAGCACCTGCTTTTACTGCAGCCACACAAAGCAATCTGAGATCCATTTAACTGCCTGCTTTATAATGTGACACAAAGGAACCAACTAAGCA